TCTCTAGGGACAGAGCAGCACGCACCATCACTCTGACCCAGTCACACTTGGTGCGTCAGGTCCTTCAGAGGTTCGGTCTTCAGTTCTCCTCTGCACAGCCCACACCTCTACCCGTAGACCATGGGCTCTCTGCTCCCGTTCCTGAGGAGCCAGTAGAGCCCAGTGGCCCCTACACAGAGCTGGTGGGTTGCCTCATGTACCTGATGACTTGCACTCGCCCAGATCTCGCATACCCTCTCAGCATCCTGGCTCGCTTTGTGGCTACAGGCAGACACCGACCTCAGCACTGGTCTGCCGCTAAGAGGGTTTTGCGTTATCTTGCTAGTACATCAGGCATGGGGTTAGTGCTAAGAGGACGCAGGCCAGTGGTCCTTACTGGGCACACAGACGCTTCTTGGGCAGACGACGCTGAGACGCTCAGGTCGTCGCAGGGCTACTGTTTCAGCCTTGGTTCGGGTGCTATCTCTTGGAGATCCACTCGCTCGTCGTCTGTGGCTCAGTCTAGCTGTGAGGCTGAGATCTACGCTGGTGCCATGGCGGCACAGGAGCTCCGCTGGCTGACCTTCTTGCTCACAGACTTAGGTGAGCGGCCTAGCTCTGCCCCGGTCCTGTACGCTGACAACAGGGCCATGATACTCCTGTGTCAGGAGCCTCGGCTTGAGGGCAGAGCGAAGCATATCCAGCTGCGGTACTTCCTCCTGCGCGAGCTACAGCAGCGCCGCCAGGCCCGTGTAGTTCACTTGGCCTCAGGTGCCAACACAGCTGATATCTTTACTAAGGCGCTTGCGCCTAAAGATCATCAGCGGCACTGTGTACAGCTTGGTCTAGTTCCTGTAGCTGCTCCCCTGTTAGGATCCTGATTGTGTACTCTCTATTATATATGCTTGTCAGACTGGCCTTGTGGCCTTACCTCCAGTGGCTGGACTAGTAGTGCCACCCTGGCTTGCTTCAGTTTTGGTTGTATTCTTGCTGACTGGTCTCCAGACCCCTGCCTCAGTGGTTGGACTAGTAGTGCCGCCCTGAGCTGTTTGCTTCTTGTTTAGTTTCACCCCTTGTCTAGCCTAGGGGGTGTGTCAACTTATACATATTATCTATGTAGAAGTTATAGGCTAGACTGAGGTATGCTTCTAGTGAGTACAACCAACTAGTATTTGTTCTAGGTTTCCACTTCTAGTTATTATTCGTTTCTACGTTAACAATGTGTGCAGGAATGACACCGGAAGGTAGGTGCCCATCGATTTTTTCTTTTGTAAAACCATCTTCACTTGCTCGTGTAAAGTCAATGCCGTCAAAAATAAGGAATCACGCTCTTTCTTCAAGCATGCTGACTTGAAACTCCACCTCAACTCGCCCCACTTTTTGCTTCTCACTGTAGCTGCGAGACTTTTTTGGGTGTTGAGTATCTCTCTCAAGCAGGAGAATGCATGAGCATAATTGTAAGGCAACATGTTGCCAAGCATGGCAGCGCCATAGTCGAATGAAGTCTGGAATAGAAATACCGAGGCGGATATGTTGGGAAGGGTGTACTGTAGAAAGAAGCATTTCCACTGCTCTGACTGACTGGCAGCTGGACAAGACGAGGGGGGAGAAGGGACATGAGGGATAAGGGAGGAGCAGCAGAGACACAGGGACCAGGGGATAGGACGCAGAACCGGGGGACTGGCGGCGGAAGATGGGAAATCAGGATTAGTGAGAGTACCACGGGAGCAGGTGGGGTTGTGTGGTCGATGCAGCGCCACGAGCCTCTGAACCAGTGAGCGGAACGTGAGCCTTGAAAAGCGATCTCTTGTGTCTGACAGAGGGCAGACGAGACCAACACAAAGAAAGAGGGCAGACCAACACGGAGAAAGAGGGCAGACGAGACGAACACGAAGAAAGAGGGCAGACCAACACGGAGAAAAAGGGCAGGAGAGATGAGCAACGGCCCGTTCGAGAGAGGGAGCAGCCGAAACAAAGGTGGAAAAGCGAGGTGAAGGGATAAGGTGTCTCAAAGGGCACACAACGCACGGGCACAAACCGGATTATGGAGGAGCCGTAGGCGCATGGTATAGCTTTGAGGCGCTTCAAAAGAATGGAATTATACGAGCATGGTATAGTTTTGAGGCGCCTCAAAAGAATAGAATTATACGAGCATGGTATAGTTTTGAGGCGCCTCAAAAGAATGGAATTATACGAGCATGGTATAGTTTTGAGGCGCCTCAAAACAATCGAACCATAGCCGCGCGCATGGTAAGGAGCGGTTGGCCTACCGAGGAAGAAAGCAGAGTCTATGAGGCACCGGACAGATGCAGAAGGGAAAGACGAGGCCAGCCAATCACAGAGGTTTGCTACGGCCTGCCCACCAGCCGAGCTGCCCGAAAGCAAAATCTGCGAGGCGGAGTCAATGCCACGAGTTTGCCGGAGGTCTAAAATGGTGTGGGGCGGGGGGGTTAGGGGGGGTGTAGGGGGTGGGATGTAGATAAGGAGGGGGGGGGGGGGGAGGGGGGGTAAACTTGGAGAGGAGAATAGAGGGACTGACAGAAAAGGATGAGGGATTTTTACATGAGAGAGCGGGAGGCAAAAGCGGGGGTAAAAGAGTGGTACAGGAAACGAGAAGGTTAAGAGAATAGAAAGGGGAAAGGGAGACGATGCAATGTAGGTGAGCCCAGCACACCTTGCAGCACTGCCTGAACAATATTCCAGCCGTCCAGGTAAATGGCTGAAGCAGGCGGACCGTTCAACTCCATTGCCTCCGTTGACTCATTTGACTCCAACGACTCTGCTGATTTCGTTGGCCCCATTGACTCCTCCGTTGACTCCATTGACCCGATCGCCTCCAATGTCGGAGTCGTTGCTGCAGCGAGCCTCACTGATTTCGAAGAGTTGACCAAGGAAGGGGCTGAAGAAGGGACTGAAGAAGGGACGGCCGTGTTCAGACCAAGCAAGCTGCCATCGCTGAGGTTCACCCGCCCTCTGGTGCCGGCGTAGCCCCCTCCGTCGCAGTAGATGAGCCTCGCGAGGTTCCAGTTGTGGAAGCTGGGGTTTAAGCTCTTGTTGGGGCTTAGTATACCTCCGAATAGAGCCTGGTACGGAGGGGTAAGGAGGGGTTTAAGAACGTGAAAGGGTGCAAAAGAAGGGTGTAGATCAGTGCGGCGGAACGGAGGCCTGGTGAAAAGCGGGAGGGTTGAAAATGGTGCTAGACGGAGCGAGGAAGGAGGGTGCTGGAAGTGGGAAAGTTGAGCCCTGCAAGGGTGTGATAGAAATTTCGTTTTGAGTCGACTCAAGGAAACAGGGTTTTGTGGAAGTGGGAAAGGTGAGCCCTACAAGGGAATCGCGGACACATGGAGGAGGGCGTTCGAATCGAAGTGGGAAGAGAGTGAACACTCGGCGGTACAAAGAAAGTGCGGATAGTTGGACGATGTCCCTTGGGAGCCCTGGAGAGTCAGGAGATTTCGAGGGAGGTATGCTTACGTATCTGGGCGGCGTCTTGGGGTATCCTAATGTAGAACCGAGTTTTGTGCGCGCGCGCTTGGCGCATTGAGCGACAGAGGCGCACCAGCCCCCCCCGGGCAGGTGGATATGCCAGTTTTGGCGCCCCTGAGCCCATGCCAGGGCGGAAATAGTACCCTGGAGGGCTTTGAGAAAAAAGAAATAGTACCAGCGGTGCAGAGGATGTGTTATGGCGAGAGAAGCCCGCGCAGCGAGGAAAGTAAACGAATGATAAGAGGGAATCAACTCGATTCGAAATCATGGCTCCGAGTCTGATGCACATGAATCGAGTCACGCGTACAACGGGTCCCCGAAATTCCTTACCTGCCGTCCAGGCATTTGGGACCGCGCGGGCTGTCGGGGAGCAGAACGAGCGCCGCGTTGTCATCGGAAAGCCGCTTGGTCCAGATGATAACTCCGACTACCAGCGCCGCTACCGCAAGCGCTACGAGTATGATTGCGAGGCATTTGAGCCGCGACTTTCGGTCCGACATGGCTAAACAGCACGCGGGGAGGTCGAAAGGATAGTTTGGGCGCGTTGACAACACACTGACTCAGTTTTAGCCTTACTGAGTAGAAGCATCGCTGTCCTCTCTTTAGGGTTGGACTTTGCGGGTGTGAATTTATGGGATGAGTGCCTACTATTAGGAGGTAAGTGTCGTCTAGATCCTGATGATAAACATCACTCGTTCTGCAAGAGCCATCACATCGTAAGGGAATCACGATGGGGCAGAACGAGCGGAGCCTCGACCTGACCCGAGCTGGTGAAAACGCCTGATGACTCATGCTCGTGAGGCGATGATAGTCGGACTGGGCGATTTTTAGAGGTCAAATCGAAAAGAATCATGATTCATGACTCATGACACGGTCTGTTGTCGAGGGGGTGGTGGTTGGTTGGAATTGCGTCCCACAAAAATGGCGGCGGGCCCGCGACGCCGCGAATTTGGGCAGTTGGTGGCGTGGCGTGTGGTGTGGCGTGTGTCTGGTCTGGACCAAGGATGAATTCTAGAGTCGAGACCCGATAAAGGGTACAATGTCTTGGTTATGCAGAGCAGCAAACAACTGCTGACAAAGCTAAAGCTCAGATTTACGCACTTAGGACATTGGCAGCCTGAACTGTATTATCTGTTGAGATGTATTTCTGTCCATTTCTGTATTTTTGCAGTGGTGGTGAGCGCCCCCAAGGCGCCTCGAGATTGCCATCCCCCCACCCCCCTCCTCCGCCCCACCTTCTTCCCCCCACAGCGCTCATTCGCCCTCCCCTCGTTCCCCCTGACATGCCAGCTTCCCACCGCCAGCCCTCCCAAACCAGTCCGGCCTACACTGCACAGAAGTTCCTATGACTTCGGTTCACCGCTCTCAAAATCTGTAGACTCCGCACAACCTCAACCCAATTTGACTCCATCAACACACACAATCGAGATTAGAGAGTTCCGCCTCCCTTGCGCGGTGCTGAAACGAGTTTCCCTTGGAATTGCGACCCCCTGCCACCAATTTCAACCGACTCTCTGTCATTCCAATCCATGGTCGCTGCACTAGAGACATACGATGATGGATCAGCGAAACGTGGGGGACCCTTCTTGTGCGCAGGGTGTGGGAACGCATCCTCCGAGATCTGCCTCGAGAGGCTATGATTACGTAGATGTGGACCGGAACGCGACGGCCGTGGCCCGTGATAGCTTTAGAGCAGAGCGCCAGCGCAGAACAGTGAAGCCAGCGCGTTTTTGTTGTAGGTGTTATTCGGATCTTCTTTTTCTTTTTCTTTTTTCACTTTAAAGCCGAGTATTTATTTTAATGCCGATTGCCAGCCCAGATCAGTGAAGCCAGCGTATGTGATCCGATCGCTGGGAGCAGATACACGTAGAGTTCGTGTATTTTGATTCGTCTCCGAGAGCTCAAACTCACAACTTTGCCAGTCGCTGTGTTGCAACGTAAATAAAGTCCGACAAGCCAGCAGCCGTACGTGATCACATGTGTCGTTTCAACTAGAAAGCACCGCGACGCGGTGACGTTCGCCCCTGGTCGTGCCAAACATGGCGTGACGTGTCACGTCTAGATCCCGTTCGCTGTAACCAGTTCGAGCTCCAACTTATCAGTGACAGTCGCACTCGCCACCAGCCACATCGCAAACTCCTGTCATTCGTGTCGCATCGTCGCATGGCGGCGTCGAGTGTATTCGCATCGTATCGTCGCACAGCGTCGTGTATAATCGCACTGCTGCTAGCCAGCAGCTGCCACTATCAAGACTCCGCGGAGGCCGCCGCTCCGCCAAAACCTCCGCCAAGGGTTCCGCCGCCTTTCCGCGCAGGGCGCAGCCCTGGCGGCGGAAGGGGCGCGTCTGTGGGAAACGCCGCGTCGCAGCCCGGCGCGTCATGGCAGCCTGAGCTGACGCTCCTTGCAAACAACTCGTATGGCGCGCGTTGCCTGGACGGCAGGTGGGTTTTTCTGAGAAGCCCCATTCTCGTACGTTGAATTTCCAGCCTAACATTCCCCTCTCCTTCAAATCTCTGCCTAAGATTCCCTTTCCTTTTTCTGTATCCCGCTTTTTCCCAACGTCCTGTTTCCCTCCCCGCACTCCCCCGCCGCCGCTGACGATCCTCCCATCCTCGATCGCTCGCTCCCCAGTTCCCCCCCGCCTCCCCCACCTCACAACATTCCCCACCCCCCACTCCTACTCCAACCATTCCCCACATACTGCCCCCAACCCGCCAACCCCTCCCCACCCCTACTCCCCCCCCCCCTCCCTCCCCCCCTCCACAGTCCCCCAGGGTACTACTTCCGCCCGGGTTGGGGGGAGGGCACTGACTCGTGGCACGTGCATCTGCCCATGGGCGGGTGGTGCTTCAATATAAGCACCTGCGCTGATCGCGCTAAGACCTTTCTGGGGTCTTCGCGAGCCGATTTGCAGCTAAATAATCCGTACAGCCATGTAAGCAGGGGGTGGGGGAATTGGGTAGGAAGGGGATTTTGGGGGTTGGGGGGAGGGGGGGATTGGGGGAGAGGGGGGGATTGGGGGAGAGGGGGGGATTGGGGGGGAGGGGGGGTGGGGGTAGGAGGGGATACTAGGGTGCGCTATAAGCAGCTTTGCAAATTGTGCTTTCTGAGGCGCCTCGCTAAACGCTTTTTGACCCAGTTTCACATATTGGAACCTTGAATTCATTTCTGTGTCTAAAACCCTGAATGCAGTTTTATGCGTCCAACCTTGAATGCAGTTTTATGCGTCCAACGCTGAATGCAGTTTTATGCGTCCAACCTTGAATGCAGTTTTATGCGTCCAACGCTGAATGCAGTTTTATGCGTCCAACCCTGAATGCAGTTTTATGCGTCCAACCCTGAATGCAGTTTTATGCGTCCAACCCTGAATGCAGTTTTATGCGTCCAACCCTGAATGCAGTTTTATGCAGGCGTCATGAGGGTAGGTACCAGATAATCTTGAGCGGCAAGGAGAGTGGGAGCCCTCTCTTTCACTACTGGAATTCGGTTGCGTCCTCCTTCTGCTCCGTCTGACAACCCTCCCTCCCATAATGGCCCTGCTCTATCTCTTGCCCCTCCCCCCACTAACGCCCCTTGCCTCTTGAATTCTATTCTACTGATTCTTTTCTTGTATGCAGGCGTCATGGGGCTGCCAGAGGGTCTTGAGCAACAAGGAGAGCCGGAACCCGTGCTTCTTCATGTGGAATGTGGTCGTGCCTATCTACTGCTCTGTCTCCCTCACCGCCCTCCCTGTCTCAACGCCCTCCCTGTCTCACCGCCCTCCCTGTCTCACCGCCCTCCCTGTCTCACCGCCCTCCCTGTCTCAACGCCCCTTGCCTCTGAATACAGGCGTTGTGGGGCTACCAGGGCGTACTGAGCAACAAGGAGAGCCGGAACCCGCGCTTCTTCGACTGGAATGTGGTGGTGCCCATCTACTGCGACGGAGGGGGGTTCTCGGGGAGACGCGGGCCGGTGAGGACGAATCGCAATGCTACCATCTATTTGGAGGGTTGGAAGATAATGAAGGCCGTGCTGAAAGGTGGGTGCGCACTGTTAGTGCTCCTCTCGCTCCTGTTTGTGCTCCCGATCCTACCTCCCTCCCGCTCGTACCCTTCACCTCCTCTACCCACTCCATCCCCCACATCTCCTCCTCTCCCCTCCACCCAGCTCTCCGCAGCCTTGCTCTCTGTTTCTGCCTCAACTCCTCGGTCTCTCCCTCGCCCTCCTCCTCTCCCCTCCGTCCCATTCCTGCAGACATTCTCACCCCACGCCCCCTCCACTCCGCGCACTCACTGCTACTTACCAGTGCATCAGCAGGCGGGCACGCAATAGCCACCTCTCCTTCACCCCCCCCCTTCCTTCCCCTCCCTGCAGACCTCATCACAAATCGCCCCCTCCACTCCGCGTGCTCACTGCTACTATCCTGTGCATCAGCAGGCGGGCAGGCCGTAGCCAAGACCAGTGTGAGATCGAAGCCCATATCCTTCCTTCTTTTTCACCTTCTGTGTTAACTCAACTCCATTTCCCTCTCCTCTCTTCCTCCCCCTCTTTCCCCCTCTCCCCCCCCACTCCGCTTCCCTTTCCATTCCGACAGACCTCCTCACCAACCGCCCTCTCTACTCAGCCCGCTCGCTACTGCTGTCCGGAGCGTCAGCGGGCGGGCAGGCAGTGGCCACGTTCTGCGGCCTGCTGGCGAACTCTGTAGCCGATCGCTCTGCTGTCAAGTGCTTGCTTGACTCCGCCTTCTTCACTGGTGGGTAAAGACTGCTGTTGACTGGCGTTGACTGGCGTTGACTGCTGTTGACAGGTCAACAGCTGTTGTCTTTTTCTCTCCTTGTTTTTGTTACATGCTCTGCTCATAATTTCCCCCCTCTAGGTGCTGAGTCTTTTGTCGATGCACGGACCGACTAATGTCATTCTTCCGGTTTCTTATTCCCGCACTGCCCTCCATTCTTGTTCAACAGACTCTTTAAAACGGGATGGTTTCCACTACTTTCTACTCATTTGAGTCAACTCAAAAGCATTCATTCAAATTCTTGTTCTCTTGTGTTTTTTTATTAATTGTTCAACAGACTCTTTGGATCGAGGTGGTTTCCTCCACCTTCAGCGCGTTAGAGTCGGCTCAAAAGCATTCTGGTGTCTCATTTGAGTTCCCTCATTCTTCTTTGTTCTCATTCTCCAGACTCTCCGGACCGAGATGGTTTTCCCTACTTTCAGCGCGCGGTGCAGCAAATGGCTGAGCTTCACCGGTCTGTTGGCAACCCCCAATGCGCAAAGGGTAATTTACACTGCATGTGCAGAGGGAGCTCTTTCCTTCGCAAATGCCCTTTTCAAATCAGTACTTCGCACAAAAACTTTCGCTGACCTCCGTGCTGTATGTATCAGACCTATTTACCGTCCTCCAGCCCAGTCCGACATCCCCCTTTCGCACCCCCCCCTCCCTCCCCCCCAGCCCAACCCCCCGACAAGAAGTGGCGGTGTTTCTTCCCTCAGTACGCGCTCGCCTTCCTCTCGCGCCGCCCGGTCTTCATCGTGCAACCGCTCTTTGACTACCGCGCCCTCGTGCGCGGTAACCAGCTCCCAGAAGATTACAATTACGCTATTGACTGCCTGCGTTCGCTCCTCTCCCTGCCTGTCCTCTCATCCGGAAAGAGAATTTTGATTCCCTCCTCCAACCCCCGCCAAGGCTTCACCTTGGCAACAGCTTATGGGCAAGAGGACAAGGAAGGCTTGTTACGGAGATGGAAGCAGATTGAGGAAGATGGGTACACTCCATACCCCATATGGGTAGCAGATTCGCCCAAGGCACCTGTACTGGCAGTGGAAATTCAGGAAACGGAAGTCCAAGTGACAGGGACAACGGGGGCGGTGCGAGGAGGGACAAGAGAAGCAGCTGGGCCGACCACATACTGCAAGCAGGACGAGCTAGTGGCTATACTGATGGTGGCAAATAATGTAGCAAGGTTCACGAAGATGCTTCGACGGAAAAAATTGGGGGCGTTCTTGCCTTTGGAATATAAGCATGCGGTGATCACATCCGAACTATGGACGGAAAGTGTAGTAAATGGGGTCACCATGAGGGATGCTGTTGCTTCTTGGTACTTCTCATAGTGAATTGGGTATTGGAAGCTCTTTAGGCATCAGATTTTGCTCAAGCAAACCCGAAAAGTGAGTCCACCCACCACCATTGGAAGAAAATGATTGTGAGTTCGGTTGATGCATTGGTTCAATAGGCTAGTTTTTTGCACACCCTTCTCATGCAAATTAAAAGCCGTCGGACTGTTTCGGTACAGCGCACCAGGGCCTTCCCCTCGCTACAACGAATGCGAGCTGGTCGGTCGAACGCGCTTCAGCTTCTGGCGGCGGTGCGTTGACCAAAGCCCGCAACAGCCACGTCGCGTCCAGCTGTGATTGGCTGAGAACCATCCCAAGCGCCTCCCCCTTTTCCCCGCTTCCGCCACTCTGCCTGCGTTCCTCCACTCGTTCTTCCCCGTCAATCCCTCTGCCCGCCAGCCCTTCTGCAAATTCCCTGGCGCCCTTTCTCCCATTCTTCTCACCACGACCCTCATCCCCAATTTCCCCCGCTCTTGCTCCTACTCCCCCACTTCCCCTGCCCTTCCCGAATTTCTCCCCCAATTTCCCCTCCCCCACCGTCTACCGAAATTCGCCCCTCCCACCTGCTACAGAAATGGCCGTCCACCTGCAAACCCCTCGCCATTAACGCCCTGAACCGCTTCAAACCACTCGTAAACACCACTAACCTATTGGGTCTTCCATGCATCCTCACATCCATAATTTGCGTGGGTTGGGTATGTGAACCGCCCGCACCTACCAAAGTCCAGGGTAGACCCCCTTACCTTTTTCTCTTGTGGCTCTGGTCTGAACGCTAGGCGAGCCGTCCTCCCTTGGCTCGCATTTCCTTCACCTTTTGCTTGGTCCTCGCTTCTCTGCTGCACAGGAATCAGTACAGTACTACTATTTTCTCCGGTCGACCCTTGTGCAACTGTGCTACGCCTGATGCTGGGGTAGCATCAGCCGTTCCCCAGTGAATTGAGCAGCAGCAGAAATGCAACTAGCTAAGGACCGACCGTTCCCTTCAACTCGTCACTAGCGACGGATGGTAGTTCGACACGCCCTGACGTCGCCGTGTGTAGTAACGCTGGGTGATTTTTTTCAATTAATTAATTTATTTATTTTTCATTTGGTAATATTTTAACGATCAGCGGCGCAAGAACTAGAAGGGGCAGAAACGAAGTCGCTCTAGCGAAGAGAGTTGCAGCCGGTAACCAGGTAGCGAGCGCCGCAGTAGGATGCGACATCATCGCGTAGCGGGTTTCGCGAAGGCAACGAGTAACGAGTAACGCCAGTTTGACTCGCAACTGCAGTTGGCAGGCCCTCGCGATGATGGCACGAGTGTCGCGAGTGTCGCGAGTGTCGCGAGGGACGCCGCCGCTCTTATTCCTGGTCGCGGTGGTGGCGGCGCTGCTGCTAGCGGGCGGCGGGATTCGCGGCGGCGAGTGCATGACGCGGCCCATGCGGCTCATCACTCTGCCGAAGAACGCGCTTGGCGCTAGATGCCTCGACGGCAGGTGCGCCACCCTTGACGGATCGATCCTCTCAATGGATTGCGCACATCTTCGCCCAGAGATTCTCCTTCATCCCCATTCCCCCATACCTATCCCCCCACCCCCTTCCCCCCCCCCTCCTCCCCTCCCCTTCCCTCCCTTTCCTTCCCTCCCTTTCCTTCCCTCCCCTCCCCTCCCCTCCCCTTCCCTCCCTCCCCTCCCCTTCCCTCCCTCCCCTCCCCTTCCCTCCCTCCCCTCCCCTTCCCTCCCCTTCCCTCCTCCCCTCCCCTCCCCTCCCCTCCCCTTCCCTCCCTCCCTCCCCTTCCCTCCCCTACGCTTTCCCAAAATTCGTTTGCTTTCGACCTTTCCCCTTCTATTCCCCTCTCCATGCCTCACCAACCCACCCACCCTCCCCTCCCCCCTACACGCGCCGCCGCCCCCTCTCTCGTTCCCCCCTCCCCAGCGACCCCTCTTACTTCTTCCGCCCCGGCGCCGCAGCCACTCCCCCGCCCGTCAAGCGAAGCGTCCCCCGGGCGACCGCCGCTCCAGTGGCAGGCAGCGGCCAGTCCGTCAATCAGCGGTGGTTCACAAGCAGAAGCAGCGGGATCGTGGGGAGGAGGGACACGTGGCAGCCAATGCAGACGCCGAGAGGTGACCCCGCGATTCGAATTCACATCCACTTGCCGGCGGGCGGGTGGTGCTTCACGGCTCTCGAGTGCCTCAACCGCTCGACCACGTTCCTCGGATCCAGTACAGGCTGGCCCGATACCATCCCAGACGTGAGTGTGCTGCCGCGTACATGGTACTGTGCATTCAGGTAGTGCAGACCGAGAGAATGCGTTGACTGCGCTGAGTGCGTTGACTGCGCTGAGTACGTTGACTGCGCTGAGTGCAGCACGACCACGTTCCTCGGATCCAGTACAGGCTGGCCCGATACCATCCCGGACGTGAGTTTTAACATGTGTTACTCTGTGAATACATATAGTGTACTGCGTATCTCGTTGGATTATATTTTTGAGGCGCCTAAAAAAATGGAATCCACGTAGTGTACTGTGGATCGGTTTGGACGGTGCATGTCTCACACCACACCCACAGTTCGGCCGTCTCTTTCCCCTTCTCCACCCCAACCTCTCCAGTCCGTCCCCACGGGCGGCATTCTCAGCGACGACCATGACAACCCCCTCTTTGCCGACTGCCCTCTCGCTCTTTCCCCCCCACCCGCCTCCTCTCCCCCCCATCCGCCTCCTCCTCCCGTTTCCGTCTCCCTCCCCCCCCCTCCCCCCCCCCCACTCTTGCCCCTCACCCCCCCCAGTCCGTGCCCATGGGCGGTATTCTCAGCGACGACCCCGACGTGAACCCGCTCTTCGCGGACTGGCCTCTCGCCCGCGTCAACTACTGCGACGGGGGCGGCTTCGCGGGGCAGCGGGGGCGTTTCAACGTCACCATCCCCATTGGCGCTGCTGCGGGGAAGCAGCCCGGGAGGCGGTTAGGGAGGCGGCTGGGGAGCTCGGTGGGGAGGTCGGCGGGGAGAGAGATGGGGCGCTCGGCTGGAAGACAGATGGGGAGTTGGGAGGGGAGAGAGGGGAGGGAAGGGAGAGAAGGGGCCATGCGAGCTAGGGTGCTGGCTGGGATGAAACCAGGGCCGGGGGGAGGGCAGGCGGGGGGAGGGGGAGGGCAGGTGGGGAGTGGGAAGCAGCGGATAGCGCCTGTGTATATGGACGGATGGAACATCGTCCGCACGATTATGGATGGTATGCGCTCTGCGCTGGACCCACCCACCTTCTTATGAATGACTTGCTTAGGCCACTTGCTGAAGGGCACGAGTGACCAGAAGCACAAATAAGTCACTCGTGTTCCCATCGCCTCCTGCTCACTCCTTCCCTTCCGCTCCCTCTCACTCCCCTCCGCTCCCACTCTCCCCTTCCCCTCTCCCCCCTCTCTCCAGACCTGAAGACCAACCAGGGGTTTAAGCTGGCGTCTCAGGTGCTTCTATCCGACTGCTCTGCCAGGGGTCAAGCAGCCATCTGCCTGACTGTGTGACCGTGTGACCGCTGCCTTCCCCGCCGCCTCCCGCTCTCTCCCTCTTCCTCTCACTCTCCCCTTCCTCCCCCACCTCTCCCTCCAGACCTGAAGACCAATCTGGGCTTTAAGCTGGCATCGCAGGTGCTTGTATCCGGCAGCTCAGCGGGGGGGCAGGCAGTCATCTACCTCTGTGACCGCGTGGCCGCTGCCTTCCCCTCCGCCACCACCAAATGCGTCGCCGATTCGGGCTACTTTGTCAGTAAGCGACTGAGCCCCCTCAAGAGGCCGATTCGGGCTAATTCGCCTTAAAAGGCTGTTTGTCAGTTACCATATAGCAATGAAAAGCACTCGCAAAGCCATTAGCTCTCTGTGTGTGCTGGAATCTATTTTTGAGGCGCCTAAAAAATAGACTCTCTGTGTGTGCTGGAGCAAGGCTCGAGGCTCTAGGCTCTGTAAATACTTTCCTTCTCTTCACACCATTTGCAGGGTCTCCTCATACCCCGTTTCTCACCATTTTCTCACTAAATCCACGTGCCCACCTCCTTCCTTCCCTCAATGAGAGTCCTTCCCGGCCCACTTCTCTCATTACTGCCCTTGCGTCATTTCCCTTATCCGTCTCTCCTTCCGTGCTCCTCTGCCCTCTCCCTTATCCGTGCCTCTCTGCAGACTCCATAGACCACCATGGGACGCGCCTGTGGGGGCTGGCTGTTGAGTCGACTCAATATTCCTTTCCCTTATCTTTCCCTCCCTGCCCGCCTGCAGACTCCATAGACCGCAATGGGACGCGCCTGTGGGAGAAGCTCGCCAAGAGCATTTCAGGCACGCAGCAGCTCAGCAACCCCGCCTGCCGGAAACGTGAGTGGCTTCAGAAATCCTTCCCGCCACTCCTCCTTCCCTCCAGTTGCCCTCCCTCCTTCCCTTGCAATGTGGTAGCTCAAATGCTCTGTTTCGGTCGACTATGGTCCCCATGGTCCCCCCACATTCCCTCCACTCCCTTTTGCTTCTCTTCCCTTCGAGCTGCAGGGCTGCCCCCCTCACGGCACTGGGCATGTTTTTTCCCCGAGCAAGCCCTAATGGCTCTTAAAACCCCCATCTTCGTCATCCAATCACTCTTCGACGTCGTCGCATCGGCCATTGGGGGGCAGACGAGAACCACTCCGGACCACAACTTCTACAACTTCACTGCCACTCAACTGTGCGTTAACGAGCTCTTGAATATTCCGATGCCGATAACGATTTTCGTCAAGTCGGGCAAGTGGCGGAACGTTCGATATAAGTCGAATTATTGCAAGATCGGGGAACGAGCAGCGATGTATAATATGGCGCAGTTAGTTTATAGGGGGCTGGAGAATGCAAGCAAGGAGCGGACGACAAGGGCTATTTTCCTCATATCGAACGGTATGCATGGGGTGGCTCTAATGGATGACAGGTGGGTTGGGACAAAGGTGAAAGGAGTAAGTGCTAGAGATGCGCTAGCAAGGTGGTACAATAGTAAACTTAACAACACATTTTTCATGCATGAATAAATCGTGAAAACTCGTGTCTTGTTTTTTTGACATCACGACCATACCTTTCTTCGTTGGTCTGGTAATCGGTGTTGCAATTTATGTACGTCTTTGACATTTGAGATACGTGGAAGTGCAATTTGCTAGGCGTCATCAGCGAGTGGCGGTGACGTGGCGAGGTGGTTGAGGCTCACCGCAACTCACGCGAATTTGCACGACCACGAAGAGCACTCGTGGTGCAGTATTGGAAAACGCCAGCATTCGCGAGCCGCGAGATGCGTACGCTCATTCGCAAACGATTCGTCACGGACCACACCAAGGAGTTTCCCCTCGCAGATGTGGGAAATTCTTCGCCATACGATTCGTCATCCAATGTTGTGGAGCACGAGCCTTGGCACTTACACCCGAAGCACGATACGGTAAGCGACTCGAGAGGAAGCCATCGTGCAGCAGACTGTATCCCCAAGTTCCACCAAACCAACCACCAGCCTCGGCACCAGCTCTTTTCCATCACTCGTGTACCTTAAAGCCAGGGATCCAAGTTTCTAGAACCTGGGGCAAGTGTTTTACAGTTGGTTGGGAAAAACCAGGTTTTTGTCATGAGGGTGCGTGAATTGCAACACTCGCAGGCGATTTCACTGGTGCCTACAGCTCGTCGGCCAATCAGTAGTTCTAGTCCCGACCAACTGTTTTTTCAGTTGGTAAACTTGGGTCCCTGGCTTTAACTGTTCAGCCCAAACCGCTCGGTGCTTCAAGCAATGCTCGTGACTGGATACTGCCCGCCATCCTTCCTCCCTCTTCCTCCACCCCCCTCTCCTTGGCTGGTTTCAATTCAACCAGCCACCCCAAACGCTGCCTCCAATCACGGAGGCCGACGGCTCGCCCATGCCGTCTGAATAAACGGTGCGCGTGCGGAACGAGTGACGTGCCATAGTATAGCATACTAAGTTGTAGGCCATTTCGAGATAGTAATAGACTCACATCGCATGGCGCCTCAGTGGTGACTCGTAGTAGAGTTTTTTTCGCAGGTCTTTTCACACGGCCTGTGTCGTCGTGTACGAAAGCTAGTACCCTTTTCGCTAAAATTTCGCAGCCAATCATGGGGAAGCCCTGGAAGGGCGCCACGTGGCATTGGCGCGCTTTGATCCTCACGCCTCTCCTTCTGACGCTCTGCTGGCTGACGTGGCCCGTCCTGCCGTCAGTCAACGTCAGCGTTGACGTCCATTGGCCGCAGGAGCGTGGCTCCCGGGATTCGATCTCGCACCTTCTAGATCTCCCCGTCCCGATAAGAACCGACGCGATACAACTTAGGACACAAGAAGGCGACGAAGGCCCAGGTCTTGTGAAAGCAGCAGCGGCTAACAGCCAAGTTGGAATCGAGGGACCGACGGAAAGTGGAGAGAATGCAAGGGTGGGAGAAACTGGAGTGGAAGGGGATTCTGTGAGAATCAACGCGCCTCACGGAGGCGTTAACTCGTTTGACTCCGTTGACCCGGGCAAGCGAAGGCGGTGGCGGCGGGGACCGGCGGGCCCGGGGGAAGCGGAGGACGCTCTGGGGAAGATGCGCGCGGAGGACCGCGCGTTCCGCGTGCTGCCGCTGACGGTGAAAGCGATGGCGGTGGCGAGCGCGTACCGCGTGGCGGAGGGCAGCTTCGTGGTGATCGGGGAGTTCCTCACGCCCGCCATGGTCTACCTGAAGCGCGCGCTGGTGGACGAGTGCGTGTGGGAGGGCGAGACGGAGCGTGTGGTTGCTGCCGCGGAGTTCCTCTGGGTGAGTCCCCTGTGCCCCCCGCACCTCGCATTCCTCTCCTTGCCCGTGGTGATCGGGGATTTCCCCTCACGCCCGCCATGGTCTACCTGAAGCGCGCTGGGAGCCATGGCGGGGGCGCGCTGGTGGACGAATGCGTGTGGGAGGGCGAGACCGAGCGCGTGGTCGCTGCCGCGGAATTTCTCTGGGTGAGTCCCCCTGTGCCCCCCCCCTCCCCTCCCACCCCGCGCCCGTGGTGATCGGGGGGAGTTCCCCCTCACGTGCGCCATGGTTCACCTGAAGCGCGAGCTGGTGTACGAATGCGTGGGTGAGTCCCCCTGTGCGTCCCCCCCTCTCCTCCACCGCCCGCTCCTCCCCTTGGCCCCAACCATCGCCTCGATTTGTTTTTCCGGGTTTGCCCGCTGCAGTCACACCCAACCAGGGCTTATGTTAGGTTTTTGAGCAGCTCTGGCGCTCAGGGCTCCCCTCAAATTTCACCCCGAAAACCCAGGGTCCGAATATGCACTGCCCTGATTTTTCAGGGCCGGCCGAAGAATGCTCGGAGGGTGCACATTTCCAAGGATTATTTTTTAGGTTGTTCCACACTCCGCGGCTCATCGAAGTCACATGTGTTCTAGGGCCGTGTGGGAATTCTCCTTCCCAACTAGTAGCCTGGTAGCCGGGTCCTAGGAAGAGTGACGGGTGTTAGGAGAGTGGGAGAAACTTGTATTCTAGCGGGGGGCATCGGGAAGGGGAGGGTGTGGGTAGTGGGAAAAATCAGGGTTACAAAAAAATATACTCGGAGTTTTCAGGGTCGCCTTGAGATACTCCCGGATTCTGTCAGGTCTGGGTGAAAAAGAACCCGGAGACAATCAGGGCTGCTCTAAAAACTACCTTAGAATTTCAGTCAAGTCAGGGCAAACGCCCTGATAACATGTGCCCTGCACCCAACTCCTTGCCGCCGAGCGTCCTTGCCGCCGAGCGTCCTTGCCGGCCAGCGTCCTTGCCCAGCGCTTCACCCAAGCTCGCCCTTGCCACCCAGTGTGTGCGTCTCTCTCTCTCTCCCATGTCCCTCCTGCTGTCAACCGTCCTGCTGCCTTTCGCTGTTTTGAGGCGGCTCAGGACACTCCTCTGACTATGCCAAGCCCCTCCCCTCCCATGCTCATGCCATCCCTTCTCTCCTACCACTCTCACTCTCCTGCCATCTCTTTCTCCTCCCATTATGCCTCCGAACCCCACGCCACGTCACGCTGACGTCAGCTGCGGAAGGAGGACTACCACGGCACGCCGTGGGCGCCCGTGATTATACGATGCACGTTCGCGCGGCCCGTGGGGAGTGACAATAACGGGGGCTCGCTGCTGCTGAGGCGGCGGGGCACGGAGGAGCCGAGGATGATTGTAAAGAAGTTCCCGTTAGTAATACAAGAGACGGAAATGGAGGTGCTTCGGGAGGAGCCGGGCGCATTTAAGCTTATAACGCAGCCGCCTAAATATGAGGTTTGTCACAAACGAAGCTGTCGGGTTGTGTAATGTTACGCCATCTCCATGTAAACGCTCTCTCACATTTGTCTTGGCGCCGAGCCAAACTGTTGAAATTTCCCCCTTTCCCCACATTCCCCCCTTTCCCCACATTCCCCCCTTTCCCCACATTCCCCCTTTTCCCCACATTCCCCCCTTTCCCCACATTCCCCCATTTCCCCACATTCCCCCCTTTCTCCACATTCCCCCCTTTCCCCACATTCCCCCCTTTCTCCACATTCCCCCCTTTCCCCACATTCCCCCTTTCCCCACATTCCCCCCTTTCCCCACATTCCCCCCTTTCCCCACATTCCCCCCTTTCCCCACATTCCCCCCTTTCCCCACATTCCCCCCTTTCTCCACACTCCCCCCTTTCTCCGCATTCCCCCCTGCAGTTGGCGCACTGCAGCGGCCCCATTTATGGTCACCTGCGTCCCCGCGCCGTCTCCGATTGGCTGCACTACCACTCGCACGCCGTGGGGATTCAACACTTCTTCCTCCACGATTTCGGGTCTATAAGCGGCGATTACTCTTCCGCACCAGCTGTTTCACCCTCGACAACAGCAGCAGCAGCAGCAGCAGCAGCAGTAGATGCTCAAAGGTCTGGTGCTGCTGCCGCAAACAGGACAGGCAGCGGAGCAGCAGAGGAGCCGTCGCTGGCGGAGGCAGTGGCGCCGTTTGTGGCGCGCGGGCTGGTGACGGTGACGCGGCTGTTTGGGCATGAGCGGTTCCGGTCGCACTACTGGCACCAGGTCATGACGCAGAACGACTGCCTCCACCGCGCTCGCTTCACTGCCAGGTGAGCGTGCCTCTCTCTAGACGCCCTCTCTTCCGTCCGTGACTAATGAGTGCCACTTGAGGTCTAATGCACAGAGCCATTTCAGAGGTACCCTACTGGGTCCAAGTCATGTCGCAGAAGACTGCCTCTACCGTGCGCGCTACACTGCCGGGTGCGTTGCTCACTCTCTAAATGGTCCGTTTACTGCGGCTTATAGGGAGTACAAACAGAGTCCAGTCCATTTAGCTGCTATGCACCCTTTTCACCATTATTGATGTTGACGAATGTACCTTCAATCAACCACCCAGCTTCGTTTCCTCACCAACCCCTCCCCCATCCCTTCAGGTGGCTCATATTCACGGACATAGATGAGTACATCTTCACACCACCTCCCGCGTCTCTCTCTTCTTCCCTGGCTGCTCTCGCCCGCGCCAACCACGCGTGGGCGTCCATTGGGGCGTACTGGGGCTTCATCAGCCGCTGCCGGCAGAAGGTGCAGGACGACGCAAGCAGCAACAGCAGCACCAGCACCAGCAGCGGTGGCAGCGGCACCAGGAGCAGCACCGTCGCCACCGCTACCACAACACCCGGCACAAGCAGAAGCTCGAGGGAGCTGACTGAAACAGGAGTGGCACACGAGGGGGCACCACGTGAGGAAGTGCCACGTGAGGAGGTGAGGGGCTATGAGGCCCAAGGGCTGGTGGAGAAGGAGCTTCTGATAGAGTACCTTCCCATGAGGAGCCGGCTGCCCATCTGCTCCAGTGTCAACTTCAGTGAAACTTCCACCATCAACAAAACCAAGGCTTTTTTCTGCCCGGAGCACTTCGGGCGGCGGAAAGTTGTCCTGGACCCGCGGAGAGTCGACCAGGTGACGGTTCATGAGGTGTTGCTTCCGGGAAGTGCTACGGGGGAAGTGTGGAATGCGTCTTATGAGGCCGGCATGCCTGTTCTTATGCACTTCCGGGGCCTCCTTAATCAAGAGAAGATGCCGCGATGCGTGAGGGTGAGAGTGGAGGAGACAGTGGGGAGTAGAGAAGAGGGAGAGCAGCTAAACGTGATTGATTTCACGTTCTCTGATTATGTTCAGCGAGTATTGGCTGCGGTTCCAAGAACAGTTGGATGAAAGATTTAATCAATTGATTGGTTTTCTGTTGCCAGATCATAGACAGTTCAGGAGAAAGCACGAAGTGTAGTAGCAGCATCACCTCAACCTGCACCTCACACCATCACCTCACACCATCAGCTGACACCATCACCTCATACTAGCACTTCCATGGACTTGGATTTTAAAAATTAAAAACAAAATAAACATTATTTCACATGAAGAGTGGTCCCATGATCTAGCGGTTATGATGTCAGACTCTGAATCTGAATGCCCGAGTTCAATTCTCGGTGGGACCTTTATTCATTGACGCTGCCTGCTTTTGACCTTGTGTGTGCGTTCCCCCACTCCTGAATGCATTTTGGTCCCATTTTCGCACGAATGCCAGGGCTGCTCTCCAGGGCTTACGCTAGGCCCCAGGGAGTTTCTGAAGGTGCTGAGTTATGGTCCAATCATACCCAGAATTTTCCGGAATCCAAGGGGTTTTCACTCGGAATCCTTCCGAGTTCTCCGAGCGGTAACTCTGCCTAAGCGGAAGGGCTTTTCTGCCTTCTAGTCAAATGTTTGGAGCACAGATGACGGAGCAATTTGAAACGAAAGCTAAGTCCCAAACCTGAAAGCACCCTTGATGTTCGTGACGGAGATTTTTCTCCACGCAGTGGCGGAGGGATTTTCTCCTTGTTGAACGCCGTGCTGCGAGACTAGTCCGTCAGGTTTCATGAAAACCTGTCACGGAATGCATCCGAATTCCAAGGCTATTGATTCGACCAAATTCAGAGATTCGGCAGAACCCAGACTGTTAAAATCCGGGTTCAGGGTCCAGACAACTCTTAATTTCTCTACATTTAGGGTAGCTACCCTTCTAGCGTAAGCCCTGCTGCTCTCCTCTCCTCTCCTACACATGATGCTCACCGGAGGCCCAGCTCAATACGTGGCCCAATCAGAAACCATCGCCCATTAGCGTTGTCACACGGGCAACGGCCCACTCAACGTGGGCCGTGAACAGAGCCAGCAGTGCAGTGTTATCATGACAGCGGTGACAAACAAGCGGCACAAGACGAAAGATGTCCACCGCAACAGTTTTCGCCACAAACTTCCAGCCGCGCTCGGAATAGCGCTCCGGCGAAGGTCAGCGAGCCTTTCGTTGAGCTCGCAAAATTACACACGCCTCGCTGGAAATGTTTGTGGCTTGTGTGTCGCCGCATGAAACCGAACGCTGACTTGGCAGCGAAATGGAGTCGCGATGTCCCGATGCCAAGGGTCGTTCTTAACATCGGACAGCCAACCCAGGAACAGACTCAAATACAAATTCTTACAATCCACGCAGCAGCTATTGTTGCGACACGAACCCTCAATTCGTAATGTAAGAAATCTTTAGAACACGCCCGTAACATTTGGAACTAAAATGCGACTCCAACCCCTCACCCCAACACACTGAGTATAAAAGGGAGCAAACCGAACCAGAAAAATTCACTCAACATCTCACCCGCCAACCACTACTCTGGTGCTACACCAGAGAAACTCACTTTCAATAGAAAGAGCCGAAACTTAACACAGGGTAACTAAGTGAACAATGGCTCGCCAAAATATGCCACTCAAACCTACCCCGCAAAAAATCAAAATGGTAACCTTCATGCTCGTGCGAATGGCCCACATGCCCGTGACGATGCCGTGCGAAACCCGTGCGCGTTTTTGTCCACCGGCACCCTGAAAAGTTGTGTTCCTCTGTCAGGCTCAAGGTGTAGCTGAGGAGATTTCCGACGGACCGCGTGCTGTACTGTACCGCGTGAGCTCGTTAAAGTTTACTGTGCACTGTACAGCGTGCTGTGTGCTTTTCTGAGCATAGATTCTGATTCTGGCAGCATTTTCGAATCCGCGATCTCAAAGGATCATATCAGCTCAGCAGCATCACCACTTCCTGCTGCTTGCAGAGAGAACCATGATGTGGTGCAGGGCTCTTGCTAAGGCCAGGGGTATTCCGTTTAGGTCACGGAATCGGCCCCGAAATTACCCGTTAGTGGACGGAATCGCCGAAACACTACCCGTTAAACTACGGATTTGTCCGAGTGCTACTCTTGGTTGAATACTAACATCCTCCAGACAAATGGCCTAGGGCTAACGAAAGGCCTTCGAACCCCCAGGGACTGTTCCTCGCACATACTATGCCTCAGGCGGTTGGAAGTGTAGAAAAATTTCCCGCTAACTAACCTCCCTCTCTGCCGCTGTGGAGGTAGGGGGAGGGAGGGAGAGGGTGGAGGTGGACACCACCACGAACAGATCTCCTACTACAAGTGCACTTCGCACGGAATCAAAGGAAAGTAGTCCGTAATATCAAGGAATGACAAGAAAACTAATCCGTTAGGCAGACGGAATCAGGTACTACGCCGAAAAACGGAATCAGGTTTAAAAAACAACTCTTAATTTCGCGACATTAAGGGTAATTGCCCCTGTTAGCCAGAGCCCTGATGTGGTGTGACAGAGTGCCAACACACAGCTTGAAGCTTGTCTTTCTGCATTGCTCATTGGCAGTCCAACCAATGGCTCGCATGGCTGAAGTAACGTCTGGGGCGCAGTGAGCAATGCAACACCTGGAAGGTCCAGCCAGCCAGTCCAGGCCCTTGAAAATAGCTACGCGGTCCCTGTACCGCGTCCGTGAGATGATTATTCCCTGAAATGAAGGTCTCACTCCACTCTATAACATATCCTTCTTCTCTGTTTGCTCTCTGTGAAGCGCTACCACGGCTTCTTCTCAAGGGCTCACGAGTTCCTCGTAGACTTCTTCTTTCGACTTCCGTTCCTACTTCCCGAAACGCCTCCGGCATTTCGAGCCTGACGTAGGCTCTGGTTTGCTGCAATTGTGTGACTCGACCAACCACGAGCTATTAACAATGTTGACTCCTCCGCGCTTCCACCGAAGGAGCTCCAGCGACGTTCCGAAATCCGCAGAGCCCATCGTCGTTATGCTCCCTGACGGCTCCGTCAGGCTCTACGCGACGGACTCCGACAGCGACATCGTCACAGCGCGCCGAGTCCTTGGCCCGTTCCCCGACCACGACGTTTTCGCCACCACCAGTGCTGGCAGCTTCGAGCCATTGTCGCCCAAGCGCGTGCTCAAGCCAGGAGGCACGTACCAGATAGTGCCACGCGACGTCGCGCATCCTGCGGAGGATCTGTTGCCAACGCACATTAAGGATTTATTTTCATCGCATTCTAAAAGTTCGCCAGTGGATCTGGATGCGATCTGTTCCGGGACAACGGGAATCGACGGAAGGCGTGTCCAGCCAGGATGCTGCGATTTACGAACGACTCCTTCAACGACAACGTTCCGCGACCGACCTACTAAGTGCAGAAGCGCCGCCGAGCTAACCACGCTAATCCCACTAAGGCAGGGCGGTGATGACACTGCAGGGGAAAACGAACTGAGGGGTAACATCTTCGGCAGTTCAAGATATTCCTGCAGCGTATTGCTCGCTCATCCAGTTTATCCGACTGCCACGTGTCCTAGACCTGGGACCTCTGATGGCACACGTGGCAACGCTGTCTGCAGTTACGGCAACGGTTTTAGGAGGTCGCACTCCCGCAAGAACTCCATCTCAGAAGATCTACTGAAAGCTGCTCAGCTGCAGCAATTGGCTGGGCAGGCTAGATGACATGTATGTTATGAGCGTTGGTGTGAAGCCTGCTTGTGCTGACATAGCAAAACCCAAGGTGTGCTAACAATCCCCTGTGAATATCAACTCTATTTGGGTCAGAAATTATTCGCGTTTGTAAATGAACCACTTCTTATAGCCCAGGTCCTGAGTTACATGGCACCAGCTTTTTTGTTAACAATTTTGGAAGGTATGAGGCATGAGAAATTCCTTACTGAGGCTTGCTACAGAGCGTACGACTCGAACAGTCCCGAACCAGCGATAGGGTTCCAGACCTTTCAGTTCGATCCTCCTGGGCCTTTCTGGACCTCGCTTCGACACATCGAGGCCCTTCGACACTTTTCCCGAACCTTCCGATCCTACGTCCAGGATCACCCTAGGCTTTCTATATATTGTGTGTTCTTTCATTTTATTGTCATTCACTCGTTCACAGTTTTGCCATTGCCCTCCGCGCTACTCGGCAGTCCCATTCATAACAGAAGGCGTTTGAATGGTTACCCCATGCACTTCGTGAATAGTGAACAATGCTGAACGGAATGGGAAATGGTGGCTTGTGATTGGGGGATGTGGCAAAGCATGTTTCGCGTACCAGTGCAAACTCCAACCAAGGCTAAGGGAAAATGTTGACAACCGAGGGCTTGTAAATTGGGACCTGCGGAAACACCATTTTGTTTACAACGCCATAGCTACCGTAGACATCGTTCCCTCCCTAGCAGTCTATATCTCAAGCATATGCGGCTTATTCCGTTACAAGCCTCCATACTCACGCCCCGCTGTAGCCCTCCCCTCTTTCCACGTCACCCCTCGCGCTTCCGGCTAGCCGCAGCTACCCGCTTCTGGCTGCTTCCCGCTCCCGCTCCCCAATTTTCTCTGCTTCCCGCTTCGCGCTCGCCTGCTTCGCGCTCGCCTGCTTCGTGCTCGTCGGTCTAGCCTTCTAGCTCCGAGGACCCAGCTTCCCGCCTTCCCATCCGTCTCGCTTCGCGCAGCACCCCGCTCCCCATTGCCCGCCGCTACCCTAATCGCCATTGCTCCCACTCACCAGTGCCACTTCCTGCGCCCGCTGCTCCAAGCTTCCTGCCGCTGCCCGCTACCCGCTTTCCGCCCCCCGCGGCGCCGCTGTGTGACGCTAAAGCAGGACCCATTTCCCGCTGCTCCCCGCTTCGCGCAGCCCGCGCGAACCGCCGAGCGCGCATCGCCCACCTTCCCTCGGTAACGCCGTCTCACGCTGCTTCCCGCAGCTGCTCGCTCCCCACGTGTCCGCTGTGCGGCCCTTCCCCGCTTCCCGCTGCCCTCCCGCGTCCCAGTTCCCGCAAGCTTCGCGCTTGCGGAATGTTTGGCGCCTTTCGAAAGGCGCCGCGGGGACAGGGAGGGAGAGAGGCGCGACGGGTGGAGCGAGTGAGGCAGGACAGCTGGGAGGGAGGTAGTGGAGACAGGGGTGAGGAAGAGAGGCGAGAGAGCAGGGAGGAAGAGAGGCGAGAGAGCAGGGAGGAAGAGAGGCGAGAGAGCAGGGTGGAAGAGAGGCGAGAGAGCAGGGAGGAAGAGAGGCAAGAGAGCAGGGAGGAAAAGAGGCGAGAGAGAGGGGCGGGGCAGGGAGGAGAGAAATCAGCGAGGAAGAGAAACGAGAGAGGCCTCTGGGAGGGAGGAGAGGAGAGAGAGAGGGGAGGAAGAGAGGAGAGGGGGGGGGGGGGAAGAGAGGGGAGGGAGGGGGGAGGAAGAGAGGGGAGGGAGGGGGGAGGAAGAGAGTAGAGAGAGGGGTGAGGAAGAGACGAGGGAGAGGGGGGGGGAGAAAGGGGAGAGAGAGGGGGGAGGAAGAGCAGCGAGAGAGGGGGGCGGAAGAGAAGCAAGAGTGGAGGGCGGAAGAGAGGCGAAAGAGGAGGCCGGAAGAGAGGCGAGAGATCAGGGAGGGAATGAGGCGAAAGAGCAAGGAATAAGAGAGGCCAAGCAGCAGGGAAGAGAGCGAGGTGTTGGCTGCGGAGGGGGAGGGGAGGAAGAGTAGGGAGGGGGAGAGGCGAGATGGCAGGGGAGGGAGAGAGGGGTGTGAGGAACGGCTGAGAGTGAGGAGTGAGAGCAGAGTAGAGGGGGGGGAAGGAGGGGGGGGGGAAGGGGGGGGGGGAGGAGAGGCATGAGAGCACGGGATGGAAAGAGGCGTACGAGCAGTGAGGGAGTGAGGACGTTAGGGAAGGGAGGGGGAGAGGCGAGAGCGTACAGGAAGGAGGGAGGCGCCATAAGAAGGGGGGGGAATGAGGCAAGGGCGGTAGGGAAGGAGAGCGGAATGAGAGCAGGGAGGGAGGGAGGGCGGAATGTAGGGAGGGCGGAAGGTAGGGAGGGCGGAAGGTAGGGAGGGCGGAAGGTAGGGAGGGCGGAAGGTAGGGAGGGCGGATGGTAGGGAGGACGGAAGGTAGGGAGGGCGGAAGGTAGGGAGGGCGGAAGGTAGGGAGGGCGGATGGTAGGGAGGGCGGAAGGTAGGGAGGGCGGAAGGTAGGGAGGGCGGAAGGTAGGGAGGGCGGATGGTAGGGAAGGCGGAAGGTAGGGAGGGCGGATGGTAGGGAGGGCGGAAGGTAGGGAGGGCGGAAGGTAGGGAAGGCGGTGGGAGGGCAGAACACATGGGAGGGCAGAACAGTGGGGAGGGCAGAACAGTGGGGTGGGGAGAGCAGAACAGTGGGGAGGGCAGAACAGTGGGGAGGGCAGAACAGTGGGGAGGGCAGAACAGTGAGGAGGGCAGAACATTGGGAAGGGCAGAACAGTGGGGAAGGCAGAACAGTGGGGAGGGCAGAACAGTGGGGAGGGCAGAACAGTGGGGAGGGCAAAACAGTGGGGAGGGCAGAACAGTGGGGTGGGGAGGGCAGAACAGTGGGGAGGGCAGAACAGTGGGGAGGGCAGAACAGTGGGGAGGGCAGAACAGTGGGGAGGGGCGGCTTATACTTGTTTGTGCTCAGCACGCTGTTCACATTGGCATCTTCCTTCTCTCCCCTCTCATGATCATTTGCCTTCCTGCCTTCTCCCCTTCCCCCCCGGTGTGCACTTTCGCCTTCAAGCTTGTTGAATGGCTGGGTGTAAAGCCTGCTCCAGCTCAGAAGCCTGCCTCGTCATGCCTGCACTAAGTTGGCTCATCAAACCTAGCTGCGGCTACCTGTGGTTGTGTAAATTTTGGAAGTGCATGTGCATCAGGTGGCAGGTTTTGGGGATATGGCACATAAATACGACACATAAATGCAGCAGGCTGTAACCAGTCTTTATCATTTCATAATGCATTATGTGCTTCTACGACTAGAACCATGCCCATGAGGCAGGGTTTAGGCTATACATGTTACTGTTTACAACAGCCCTAGTCGTTCTCATCCTATCCCAGGTGGAGGTCTCAGTGGCACGGCTCTCCTTCTATCCACTCCTGCTCGTCTCACTCCTCCCCCCCCCTCGCCTCATCGCTCCTCTCTCACCCCTGCACCCTCTCCATGCTACCGTCTGTCCTCTCCTCTCCTGCTGCTGCACCATCAGCGACAGACAGGGCCGAGTGAGTTGTCCCTCCTGCGCGAGCTGGGATACTTTCCAATCCCCTGGTGAAGGCACTCGCGCTCTTGCCTTGAAGAGAGGATGCAGGGGAGGGAGGGTCGCAGCAGCTGGGGACAAGACAAGAAGATGAGGGGCACGATAGAGCACCAAGAAGGGTGGGGAGAGGGGGGGCCTGGGCGAAAGGAGACCCTGAACCTTCTTCGAACCTTCATGGCTTCTTTGTCTGCCTTGCCTCTTCCTCAAACCTCCCTGCCTCCATTCCCTCCCTGCGAAGGAACTCTTCTTCGCTTTCTTTGACCTTTCCAGTCCCATTTCCTGTCCCCTTCCCCACGCCTTTCCATCCCCTCTCCCCTGCTCGATCATTCTTCCGCCCGCCAAGTTGACGGCCTTTTCTTTCTCCCCTCTCCCACCTCCGCCTCACCTACGCAACCCTCGCCCACCGCCTCTCCCCTCCCCACTGTCACCTCCGCCTCTCCCTTCTTCCTTCTCCCGCCTCCACATCTTCCGCCAACGCGACTCCCTTCTCCCCTTCCTGCCTCCGCCTCCTCCGCTCCATTCTTCCCTTTCCCGTCGCTGCCTCTCCCTTCCCCCTCTTCCGCCTCCGCCTCGCTCTACTATGGGCTCCCGCCTCCACCTCTCCTGCCTCCGCGACTCCCACATCCCCGCTCCCGCTTCTGCCTCGACCGTCGCCCTTATCCTGCTTCCTTGGCTCCCTTCCGTCTCTCCTCTCTCCATTGTTGGAAGCCCTACTGCAGCTGCGGGCAGCCAGGCGTTGACCGACTTATGTCGGTGCACTGATTGCCTAGCAGCTGCGGGTTGGCGTGACCAAGGTGCACAGACTAATCGTTGCATCCGAAGACTAAGTCTAGTTTGTGTGGACTGGTCCGGAGATGCCCACGACGACCAGTGACTCTGACGAGTCATGAGTAGTCGTGGCTATAGCGATGGATTTTCATGAGGAGCAAGGCAGTGTTTGCCTTGCTGGTTGGAGTTGCGAACACGACAAATCCAACATTGCTGAGTTGGGTTGGAGAATTGGGCGAGGCGCGTTCGCCCAACCCTTCGGCAAATTCGGGGTGGTTGGTTACACCCGCAGCGCCACGCAACTTTGGTTGGGTTTGCACTTGCCTATATATTTGTGTGCTTATTTGTACTTTGAACATATATATTTTTCTGGTGAACTTCTACTCTACTCGAATTTCAACCAAGTACTTGAAAGTGAACTCTGCCCAAATACCACCAGCGCCTAGCACGCTATTTGAATAGCGTTACTCTGTCGGAATCGCTCCACACTTTACAAGCGCTCTCGCTTTAGCATTCCTTCATCCATATCTCCCCCTCTCTACCTATCTCCATCGCTTCTACTCTCTCTCTTTCATTATCTTGCGGTCTCGCCGTCTACGGTGCGCGCTCGTACCTAGACGCATGTCTCGCGCTGCCCGTTGCTTCCCGCTGCCTCCCCACATTTCGTTGGACAGGTGCAGGCTGGGATGTGGAGCTCGTCCGCAGGCGGTTCTATTCCCACACGCCTGTTTTAGAGGAGGTTTGCGATGGTTGCCCTCTCGCAGTCGCTCTTTCAGCTTTTTGGCCTAACTACTTGTTAGAATGGAAGAATAGTCTAGAAAGGGAGAGTACAAGGTAATATAACCGAGAAGCTGTACCCTCTAACACACAAACCTATACAGTCTATACAAACATAACAATATATGTTTGACACACCCCCTAGACTGTATAGGAGCAGTTCCTAACGAGAGAACGAGTAGCTCAGGGTGGCACTACTAGTCCGACCTCTGAGGCAAGGGTCTAAAGACCAGTCAAACGAGTACAGGTACAAGCCAAAAGCAAAACCAGGGCGGCACTAATAGTCCAGCCACAGGAAGAGGCCACCAGGCCGGTCAGAATAAAATATATAAAAGGTCTGTATACAGTCAATACCCTAGCAAGTGAGAGGCTACAGGAACAAGACCTAGCTGTACACACTGCCGCTGATGATCTTTAGGCGCAAGCGCCTTCGTAAAGATATCAGCTGTGTTGGCACCGGAGGCCAAGTGTACTACGCGAGCCTGGCGGCGCTGCTGTAGCTCACGCAGGAGGAAGTACCGCAGCTGGATGTGCTTCGCTCTGCCCTCGAGTCGCGGCTCCTAACATAGGAGGATCATGGCCCTGTTGTCAACGTACAGGACCGGGGTAGAGCTAGGCCGCTCATCTAAGTCAGTGAGCAAGAAGGTCAGCCAGCGGAGCTTCTGTACCGCCATGGCGCCGGCGTAGATCTCGGCCTCACAGCTGGACTGGGCAACATACGAGGAGTGGGTAGCTCTCCACGAGACAGTACCTAAACCAAGGCTAAAGCATTAGCCCTGCGAGGACCTAAGGGTCTCGGCGTCGTCAGCCCACGAAGCATCTGTGTGCCCAGTAAGGACCACTGGCTTGCGCCCTCCTAGCACTAACCCTATGCCCGATGGACTTGCAAGATAACGCAAAACCCTCTTAGCGGCAGACCAGTGCTCAGGTCGGTGTCTGCCTGTGGCCACACAGTGAGCCAAGATGCTGAGAGGGTATGCGAGATCAGGGTGAGTGCAAGTCATCAGGTACATGAGGCAACCCACCAGCTCTGCGTAAGAGCCACTAGGCTCTACTAACTCCTCAGGAACTGGAGTAGAGAGCCTGTGGTCTACAAGCAGAGGGGTGGGCTATGCAGAGGAGAACTGAAGGCCGAACCTCTGAAGGACCTGGTGCACAAAGTGTGACTGAGTGAGGGTGATGGTGCACGCTGCTCTGTCCCTGGAGATCTGCAAGCCAAGGTAGTGGCGCAGTTCTCCAAGGTCTATGCAGGTGTGTCTCTTCAGCAGCTCTGCCTTCACCGAGGCCAGTGCGTCCCTGTGTGCAGTGGCGAAGACCAGGTCGTCTACGTAAACAAGGATGTAGAACGGAGTCTGGCCAGCACGAACGAAGAGTGAGGGGTCTGCAGAGGACGGAAAGAACTGCAGATCAGCAAGGGTAGCATGCAGCGTATCATGCCACTCACGGGGAGCATGCCGCATGCCGTAGACAGGGCGCCGCAGGAGCCACTGGGTCCCAAGAGGGAAGGTACCAGTGAAACCCTGAGGGCGGCGCAGGTAGACCTGCTCATGTAGACTGCCCTGAAGAAACGCAGTGGAGATGTCGAGGGAGTGAAGCTCGTAGTCACGCTGAGCTGCTACGTGTAGCAGTACCCGAAGAGTAGTCATCTTCGAGGTCGGAGCGAAGGTCTGAAAGAAGTCCACCCCCTTACGCTGTCTGAAGCCTCTAGCCACGTAGCGCACTTTAAACACAGACGGCTCCCCGGGAGGGCGCTTCACTTTGAAGAGCCAGCGGCTATCGACTACGTTCACTCCAGGTGGGGGAACTGCGGTGGTGATGGCAGCTGCGAGAGCGGTGGCGACGGCGGCTGTGGAGGCGGCGGAGGAGGAGACACCTGGGAAGGGGCAGGCGGCGAGGACTGCGCCGCAGGACCACCAGAGTCAGCAGACTCCTCGACCGGGACAACCGACGTGAGGGGGGTGACGTGGGACACACCAGACAGTGCAGGACGGGGAGGGGGAGGGGGAGGGGCAGGGGCCATCGGGGACGGGGGGACCAGGAACAGGGGGGGAGTAACTGGGGGACCACGGTGGGGGAAGCGACGGTAGAAGGAGACGGACTCATCAAAGGTGACGTTGCGGGAGTGAAAGAACCGGTGAGACTGCGGGTGGTAGAAGTGCCAGTCGGACGATTCTAGGGGAAAACCGAGGAAGACACAGTGGAGGGTGCGGGCAGTCAGCTTGTCCATGCCAGAGGCATGAACGTGAGCAAGGCAGCCCCAGACGTGGAATGCAGACGCGTCACCAGGAGACCTGGTCTAGAGGAGGGTCGGCGAAACCTGCGGCAGCTGGGGGTGCGGCCACAGGTTGAGCTGGTGAGCGGCGTAGCGAACGATGAACGGCCACAGAAAATGGGGTGCACCGGCATGGATCATGGAGGTACGAGCCACCTCCATGACCAAACCGATGCATCGCTCAGTGACCCCATTCTGCTGCAGGGAGTCTGGCAAGCTGAACGTCTCGGTGATGCCCTCCGCACGACAGAAACGACCAAGAACGCCGGAGGCAAACTCGCCGCCACGGTCAGAGTGGAGACGCAAGACAGCGTGACCGCGGTGGACACGTGCAGAGACAAGCCACGGGATGAGAACGTCCGGCACGTCGGCCTTCCGTTCAAGTGGAAAGACGGTGGTGTAGCGGGTGTAGTCGTCGACAAGCACTAGGAAGTATCGCTCTCGACGCGGCCCATGGACGGGGGCGGGGCCCCAGACGTCCATGCCCAGGGTCTGTAGTGGTGCGGTGGTAGGGGGGAACGAGGAGGAGTGAGGGGCACGGCGGAGGCGGCCGTCGACACAGTGCGTGCACGGTGGTGCTGGGGAGGAGGGCAATTCCGGGAACGACCCTGGGAGACCTAGGACTAGACCGTGCTGTGACATGTGACGCAGACGCGGGAGGGCAGGGTGACCTAGACGGTGGTGCCACAGAAGCGTCGGGTGAGTAAGCGACCAACAGGAGCAAGCCGCAGCAACCTGGGTAGATGCAGCCACATGGGGGGACATCCCAACCCGGGGGGTCGCGGTGTCCAGTGTGAATAGTCCAGACACCGGGTCCCGGGGGAACGTGGTGAGGGCAGCAACAGTGGCAGCCTCGGTACAGACAGCGTACCGCTCGTGACCAGGGAACGTAGTGGTGACGCCAAGGTCTTGGAGGTAGCCAACACCAACTAGGTTCCTGGAGAACGAGGGGATGTGCAGGCCTGTAAGAGAGCCCGAAGGAACCGCCGGACAAGGAAGGGTGGTGGAACTGCGAGCGACTACCGGGCCGGAGGAGGGGTCGGCAAGGGAAACTGTAGTAGGAGCAGGAAGCGGCGTCAGCGTAGTGGAGTCGCGGAAGAAACACCGAGAAGCGCAAGAGTCCAAGGCGAAGGAGAGCGCGGCAGTGACGTCCAGAGTCGGAGCAGCGACAGAAGAACCAAGGCTAAACAAAGCAGGGGATCCTACGCTCGACGCAGCAGGGGAGGCACGACTAGACACGCCTACACTAGGCAACAAGGGGTAGTAAGAAGTAGGCACACTAGAGTCATCTGCATACATCACATGCAAGGCAGCAACAATCTCGTCCATGTCCAGATAAAAAATCTGAACGCTACGGCGAAGGTCGGGCGAGGGGCCGTCCGAGAAAGTGCACTGAACAGGCGCACAGCCTTAAAAGATAGAGACCGGCACTGTACCGCTGAACTGAGCGATAGAGCGCTGACGGGTCTGTATGGCCGACAGAGTGTCAACAAAGTCAGTGAGGGTGAGGTCTGCGGGGTGTGCAGTGAGAAAGTGATCGCGCGCAGAGGCAAGGCAGTCAGGGAGGCGGGTGGCAAGCAGGTAGAGGGCATGCGGGAGAGGGGGCTGAAAGACGCGGAGTTGGGCCTCAGTGCAGCGCCAGGTCGAGTCTAGCGTGCGCAAGTGGGTGGCTAGGTCAGCGGCAGTGGGGAAGGACGCGAGATCAGGGAAAACAAGGGCAAGATCAGGCGGCCTATGGAGGCAGAGGACGGGGTGGAATAGCGAGTATGGACAGCATCGAGGAACTCCTGTGCAGTCCTGATGGACCTAAAGCGGGGGCGCTCAGACAGGGGAAGCGCATGACTAATGGCAAGCTGTCACGCGACAACCAGACCAAGCAGGCAAGGGCAGCAGCAGCAGCGGACTCTCGATCAACAGACGTGGGGTCAGCGGGCAGCGGAGCGGGGGGGTCAGGACAGGGGCGTGTACCATCAAAGTGGACGGCCAAGGAGTGGCCGTCCTGACGCTGACCTGTAAGGTGACGGTAGAGGTCGACGAGCCACGTCTCGAACTCGATCGGCTGACCCTCCACATCAAACCGCAATACAGAGTCCGCCATCAGGAGCAATGCAGATGCGGTGCAGTGCGGTGCAGAGGGGTGCAGTGCAGTGCAGAGGGGTGCAGTGGGGTGCAGTGCGGTACAGTGCGGTGCAGCGTCGTCGGATGCAGTGCAGGCGCGCGGGCCGGGGACGGCGCGGGCACGGGGCCGGCAAAACGGATGGGCACAGGGCAGGTGACGGACGGGCACGGGGGCCGGTGACAAACGGACGCGAGGGGGGGGGCTGGTGACGGACGGGCGCGGAGTCGAGGAACGGACAGGCGGCAGGCCACTGGGCTGCTGGTCGACGGGGCCGCGGGGCTGATGGTCGATGGGGCCGAGGGGCCGCTAGGGGACGGGGCCGCGGGGCCACTGGTCGACGGGGCCGAGGGGCCGCTAGGGGACGGGGCCACTAGGGAACGGAGTCGCGGGGCAGCTGGCTGACGGGGCCGAGGGGCCGCTAGGGGACGGGGCCGCGGGGCCGCTGGTTGACGGGGCTGAGGGGCTGCTAGGGGACGGGGCCACTAAGGAACGGGGCCGCGGGGCGGCTGGTCGACAGGGCCGAGGGGCCGCTAGAGGGCGGGGCCGCGGGGCCGCTGGTCGACGGGGCCGAGGGGCCGCTAGGGGACAGGGCCACAAGGGAACGGGGCTGCGGTGTCACAGGATCGAATG